GGGGAATACGAATGTAGAAGTTTTGGACAGGGACGAGTTCAAAGAACGGGAGCTCTTCACAAAAGGGGTAACTCTTAAAATGCAAAGGTTTTCTCACCAAATCAGCCGGACCCTCTTTTCCGTCCTGACGGCGTTGTTTTCGACGACGATCATCCATCATCCGGTTTTCTTGACTTCCAAAATATATCAGCCCTTAGCGCTTAAACTCTTTTGAAGAACAAACATACCGTAGCTCTTTTTCAGCGCTTCAACACTCCTTACGATGAGCTGACTCCATATCAAGGAAGGAAAAAATGCTACGGAGAGTTCCAGGTCAGTCGGTCTATTCTACCGGAGCAGTGGATTGAACCAGTGTTTTGTGTTCGAAAATGGGAGCTGAAGCCACTGCCCTACTCTAACCTCTGCACCTTTTACTAGACGAGAGTAATTCTCCTTTGTAGTGTCATCAATGCAAGCGCAAATGGACCAGTCAAAATTCGGTGGCGAATGAGGCGCAGTCGTGTATAAAATGTCATATACCGGTATTTCCTCACAAACAGGTATGCAGTGCATGTTAGCGATCTTCTCAGGACCTTCATTCTTACCGTAAATCTTATAGTTACCCGTCGAAAAAGCCGTTGCAATGGGGCTGATCAAGGCTCAGCATGCAATCCCCTCAAAGATTGCTCCAATTGGCCATGGACGCCCACCTGCAAAATGTTGAAACTCGTCCAATATCGTATTCAGGCAACTTCTGTGAGAATTTTCTCGTACAGCGATGATTTTTTTTGCAAACGAAGGGGTTGTCAACATTGCTCCTTCTAAGTAAGAAGACTACTCTTCCAGAAATAATCGAATCAATTCGATGATTTTTTTTCTCGTATTCGTGTTCATGGCAATGTTCCCTATCTGTATAATTGTGTCCTTTTTTTCTGGCAGATTTTTTGTACACAAAGTGAGCGATGACTGTTTTTTTTATTCAACTGTGTATTTACTAGACGTCTAGTCTCATAGAGTACCTTACGTCCTACGAGTTTGTGTTTGCTTTGGAAGCTCTCGTTGTTTTGGCATCATCATTTATCATCGATTAGAGGTTTTTGTAGACGAATCTGTATTGTTTAGTGCCGTTGACGCTAGAAATGCAACTTATGCGTGCGTATGCGTGCGCGTATGTGGACGGAATGTCTAAAACTGAGTGAATCCTATGTAGATTTTAAAGCCCGTTATAGCCCGTTCTATTACGACCTGTTAATGAAGGAAGATGATATACCAATCCTCCTACCGACGCAGCATCAGGCTGCAACTCCCTTCCCAGGCAGCTGCTATACTTAGAGACTGGCGACGGCGGTGATGCGAGATAGTGTTAACGAGGAGGATACGAAGGATGGGAGGCGAACTGCAGAGAACTGGGATCAATGTGTCTGCGTCTCTGTCATTCTCTCTCCCTCCACCTGTCTCCTGTGTGAATCTGTCTCGACCGCCCACTCATTCCGAGCGTTGTTGCCGGTCGCTGGTCGCCAAGTATGACCATACATTAAGACTGCTCCTATATCCTTCAAATTGTTTGATTGGTCTTGGGCGGTTATATCGAATCCTGATAGGTATAGCCCGGTTACTCCTTGTAGTCTTCCAAGAGCTTCCACTTCTCTTACTGTCCTCATATATTGCAGGGACCTACCTATTGTGACTAATGTAATTGAAATAAGACTTTATACGGTAAGCAAGTGATGTAACCATTGTGGCTTCCCAATTGAACAAAGGTATAGCTTATAGTAATAGAGAAGTATATAAAGCTATTAGCTCTTACAATGTATACTGTATAGTGAAAAGCGTTTCATAGCGTTTCAATTGCACAAAATGTGTCTGTGTGCTTGTACAATTTGTTTCTGTTCTCAATTTTATCGTCTTCGTTCCTCTTCGGTACTGATGCACATTGTTTAGTTCGTTGACCTACGGTTTTTTTTGTAAGTACTGAGTGTGTGGCGATTGAGAGCTATATATGGATATGTTTTGTTGTAATAAAGATCCTATTATGTTCCGACGTGGGTACCATCACAAGAAAATATAGAGCAAAAGCGCCCACAGTCAGGAGCAGTAGGTCTTGTCCGAGTGGAGCTCTCTACAGGCTTCCTACTCCTCTGCATCATTCTCTCATTGGCTATCCCATTTGTTTGGGAAGATAATGACATGGGGACCAAGAGCATCCACAGATTTCCAAATGGATATTAGGTAAGTACGTGGTGAAGTGGTATTCGGCACGGAAAATGGGACATAGAGACAAGTCACAAACATCGTACAAAAGTGTCAAGGAACCATGGGAAACATCAGGCCCGACAAACAACTTCGCCATGGCCATCCATTCAGATCAGAAGTGATTGGCCTTCTAGATTGGCAAGACAACTAGCCAATGTCTTTTTGTGAAGACAACTAGCCAGTGATTGTTCTGTGATGTTGTTTATTGGTTGTGCCTCCTGAATTCTATCATAAACCCTATGAATTCAAAAAGGAACCAATACATGGTACATCCAGGAGGAATTCATTATCGACTTGTGCTCTGTAATTAAGCTGTTCTATCAGAGCTTGCCGAGCCTCTGGGAAATGCCAGAAAATTTATCAGTCGTTAGTACCATCTCGCCTAGTCAAGGATAAAAAGGCAGCAATGACGGTGGGGACCAACGAAATCATATTTTCGTCGAGGTTCAGGAGCTGAAGAGCTATTTCAGAGAAGAGATGGGTAGATGGCAGGTGGCGCAGCCCAGAACATTATGATGAAATCTCATTGGCGATGTCCCTCATAACAAATCTCCCATGCCGCTGGTATCCATAAATCGTTATCTCTATCAGGTGGGAGGAAAACCAAATAGTAGGGGGATTTGTAAAAATCATAATTCAACCATAGTCTGGTTTGAACTACCCCGTCTTGTCGAGTGCATGGCATGACCTAAAACTGGTTCAATCTTTCTGAAGCTTGCTCTTTGGTAAGGTTTAATGTAGCAGAATCTCTCGATGGCTTTTTGTTTCAAGAACTTTTACAAAATGTCTGCTCTCTGCGTATGAGCAAATACCCGGTTTCGATGAGTCTGCAGCTTTACACCCATCCCTGGAAATCCTTTACTGAGGACATCGTTTGCACTCAACCAAATAGATGCTCTTCTTGTCAAATGGGTCATATTGCTTTCGAAATCGATGGGTTTATGCAAATAACGAGACAAGCGGATTCAATCGGATGTTGACAGCCGTCTAGTAACGACGGCAATCTGTCATCTTCTAGAGTGCTTTTCGACTTTTTTCTACGACTCCCCCGGTCAGGTTGCATCTATAACTATGACATACTACTAACAATTAAGCTATGGTTACCACCAATATTTTGCAGTTTTTGAAGGAAATAAGTAGGGAGCTGATTCATTTTGCTGAAGGGTCGGCTTCCCTGTGGATTCTGCAGTGCGTTCGACTCCTTCTTGGGGAAAGCATGTTGCAAGATTAATCTTCTCCTGACCTGGAATACGCCAGACATTTGTTCAGGACATGGAGCTTTTGAAAAGCTGAAAAGCGTTCGGGGAAGACTCAAAATTACCGATCTCATCCATAAATCCCAATCCTCCTCCGCCATTGAACACCCCACTTTTGCATAAAATACGACCGTTTTATTGGTCAGGCCTAGTGAATACTAGCTACCCTTTCACGCTATCCGGAAGTCTAATCAAGGAATAGTTCGCCCACTAATGAAGGTACCAAGTATGGTCCGGTGGCTAGCCCTAGGTTTCGGCCGTATCGCTCGACCATCCTTTACCCGCACCTGCAACAGTCTACCGTCCTGTTCTCCACCTGCGTCGACACAGAAATCAGACCGCCAATCGTACCGACTTCGCTCTTTTCAACGTTTCCACATCATTTTCCCCAGTTTCAACAGCTTTTAGCTATTCGCCCAATTGGGCAGCAGGAATTATATTAGTACCTACTAGAGGAATACTACCTACTTGGAAAAAGGAGAACTAAGTGAAACTCCAAAGCACCCCAAAAATTAAAAGTAGATCTTTTGATTTTCGCGTACTGTGGAAGAAAAATAGCCTACTTATAGTTAGACTAGGTGGGGCCTGCAAGCTGCTGATCTTCAACTTTCCGAAGCCTCGAGGGATCCTTTGACATGAACGCTGTACGTACATAGTGGAGTTTCAAGACTGAAGCGTTAGCATTTGCTAAGGAGATCGTAAATGGAAAATCCTGAAATAGTCGAGTTAAATGGCTGACGTAAGGAATCCGATGCAGGTATAACCCAGCTTGAATGCGCTCTCATTCGTAGATTCAAGCACAAAAGTTTTAGCTCACTGCCGCGAGTCCGAGCCCATCACTTCACAAACGTGAGCCTGGACTCTTATCCGCTACACCATCAAATCACAAT